CTTAAAAGTCTTCAAAAACACAGTTCTATACCAGGCTCCATGCCGGACCTTTCTGAAGGAAGACGGAGTAAAAGATAGCATTAGATGAAATAACACTGAGGTAGTTAAGGTCTCCTATGGTAAGGCAGAATGGTTACTAGTATTGGTGTTGTTTATKCTCTTGTATATACTGGTAGTTGCCTCAAGCAGCTAGATTTCTTTAGCCTCCTTTGCAGACGTTATTAGTATCGGTCATACGTTRACTGCGCATGACCGATACTAAAAACGTCTGCAAAGAAGGCTAGATTTCTGAAGTTCAAACAAATGTTATGATTTTGAGTGCACTTTGGAGCTAATTATTTTAAGAACTGTACGAACCCGTTAGCTGTAAAATCCATGAGAACTTACAGCAAGCAAGAAGCAATTTAGTGTATGATTTGTGAAGCGCTTTTTATGTACACTGCAATGTCCATTATTTGTGTGGGGTTTCTCTACTCTGATCTTTTTAGCCAATCAGAAGAAGAGAAAATTTTGTACCCATATCATGGTCTATGTCTATATTTTTCCTTTCCATTTCTTTTCCATTTAGAATCCCTTTCTCTGAATATCTATTTTTTTTTTACCTCCACTCACGTTCCGATCTTCGTTTCCTGGTAKTTTACTTGTTGAAACGTTTCCACGGAAATGATCTCATTCGGCGAGTCACAATATTCGAGAATGCTTTAATATGCTATGGTTGTTCGGTGCATTTTGTTTTCTTTGGCTGTTTCTTATTTTTATTCCACAACGTCTTGTCACCCGAGTGTCCATTTTTCCGTAAATATCGATCTTGAACGAAACTGTTAATACCTTCCTGTTTGTAAATAACGACCATATCTTTTCACCAGAAAAAAGTGTAATTTATATACCTTATAAGTTAAATGACACAAGATTGTAACATGATAGTTTGTTATATTGAAATAAATGAACTGGTTTTTGGTTTTTAGTTCTATTTCTTTTAGATGTATAGGATAATGAATGAATACATATTCAATTAGAGAAATAGTGATTGATATACCGGTTAACTGGGTAGTTGTGGGTTGATTGATTGTTTCGCTTATTAAATGATTGGTCAAGTTCTTCATTGATGAATTATTTGTCAAAAGATGAGTGAATTTCTTGATTCTTAATCRTTGCTTATTAATATTCCGCGCGAAGTTGGGGGCTGTCTTTGCTAGACAAATATAATATCCACAGAGCCTCTCGTTCACCCGATGACCAAGGATTATCCATTATTATAGCAAGAAAATCAGCTTATAACAATAATTATAGAGGAAGCAGACGGTACATTTGTGCGCTAATAATTAAAACTTATAGTCCATCACTAAAAGTCGTGATTTTTAGGAATCAAAAGTCAAATTTAGCATTGAAATAAGCAAAGAACTTAATATAAATAAATAAGCTTTACATTTTAAATCCTAAAGAATATCGATAGATGTTCAAACCCAAGTTTATTGATTACCCTCATAAATATAAAGACATGTTCCCTAGAGCAGCTTGGAAGCCAATCGAGTACACGGCACTTGAACAGTATTCGAATCTCAATTGATTTGATTGGCTMGTGTACAATCTCCATTGTTAACAATGTCACCGGAAAAACAAACATGAAACAAAGACCCCTAGAAAACAGTTGTCCGTAAAGTCTAYGCGTTTCGCGGAGTTAGCAACGCTTTTAATTCCTGTAAAAAAWTAGTTTAACTTCAAGGGAAATGTAGGAGAGATTATGTGGGGTTTTTCTTTTGCCCTTGCTGTGTTTACGATGTGGCTTTGCTCGTCAAACGCCACTTTCAATCTTTACATGAATCAAACAGAAGCCAAGCGAGTGTTAGGTGAGTAAAGTCGATGCGTCAATCTCAGCGCTTTGATCTCTAACTAATGCCTCTTTATTCATTTCCAGGCGTCAATGGAAGAGTTTACTTTATTCGTAGTGGTGCGGTKATGAAAAATGCTGTGAAATACAACATGCGGGTCCCTTCGACCATTAACTGCTTGGGATTCACGTGGTACAGAGAAACAACTTCGGTATGTAGCATTGAAATGGCTTTCTTAGCATTGAAATGGCTTCATTTATTCCAAAATTCGATTCCTTTACTTTAAGCCAACACAATCAAATAGTGTGAATCGAGCCMTTGGATTATAAATAAGACAGTTAAGGTCAACAAGAGACTAAGCAATGGGCTTGTTGTTGAATGTCAATCGTTCGACCAGTTAATGTCGTCAAAGTCCTGAGATTTTKTTGTGATAAAATCATTCGCTAACCTTTTCAACCTCGCATTAAATATTCCTCGCTTTCTAGCTGATTTGATGTCTCTTTTATCTTGTTATTCACAATGTATACTTCACAGTTGGAAGCGACACATCTCGAGAGGTTGTTGATATTATACAATCATTGTAATGTTATGTTTACTCCTCTTTCCTAGCCTGTAAGTTACTCGCTTGATATTGAGACACTTAGTCCTAAACTCCTGCATAAACCAGCTATAAATATCGATACAAAAGGCCAAGTTCCCATGGAAAGACGAAAAGGTAGGACCATAAGCTTATTAGTCTTGCTCATGGTTATGGTCGCACGCGTGTCAAAAAGTGTGAAGCCTTGTTGGATCATATAAAAAAGTATCTATACACAACAATTGTTGAAATCTYCATTGAATTTATTCATACATTCACACATTTTCTGCAAAGCAATCGTTTTCCATTGAAGTAGAGCTGATTAGTAATCCACTCGCAAGGCAACGGACGGATCACTTCACATTGAAATTAGGTTTGGAATTTTAATTTGAGCTTTTTGTCATCATATATTTTAATAAAGTTATTTATTGTGTGAAACAATAGAAAATTGCTCATTGTCAAATCTCTCTATGACTTCTGTCATGTATGTTTTCATAAATCTTAGGGAAATTGTTGAGATATATATTGATGATTTTTTTGTACTCTTTATGTACAGTTTGTAATTTTTGTGTTTTACTCATTAACTTTGTGGTTTATATTTCGTGTTTTAATTAATTTATTGGAAGTTAGAATAGAGCTTTTAGACCTTATTATTTAATGTGTGGCTCTATAGCTAATCTATCTCTCTGTGATTTTTCCTTAKTTTTTCAAATGTTATTTTTGTGACCTGAATAATATAACCCAAACCTTTGGTTGAGTGTTGTTTGGTGTTGAATGATCTATGCAAATGCACGATTTTATGGTAACCTTYGTTAACCTTTCCTACATAGAAAAACCTTTATAGTGAACCAAACACAATGTATTTCAAGAAATTCTGACCACTATATATCACAAAGTTAAACCTTTAATTTGTTTATAAAACTGCAGAATGTTTTAGTAACTCTTAAAAGGCATAATTTAAAGGACTTCGATTGATTTTTGATCCTATTTAGTGAGGAAAAAAAATGACAGTTTGTTTTATAGAAAATTAACATTAACATCAAATTCTACAAATTAATAATAACTAATAATGCTAATTAGCAACTTAACTTTTAGTAATGCAGCTTTTGCAATTAAGCGTTTTAGCTCTTTATTTATTTATAGTGACAATTTAGATTTTTTGATGAATGTACATGTGCGTCATTTTTCAAAATAGCTGCACATCTTGGACAATGTTCCAGTRCTTTGAGTATCCAAATGTTTGCTTAACCCTTATCCTTGCAACAGTTATAAGTTAATAGAGATTAAAGCAGTATTGATGGTAATATTGYTTTATTACAGGGTTTTGTGTCAAGATGAAATGTAAAGGTGACTTGGAAGGAACAGCAATTGTACAAATGAACATGACCTTTTTGGACCTCAGCAGCAGATTTTTACACCTAAGCATTAAAAGATTAAAGACATGTAGAAAAGGTAAGGAATAATAATAATAACTTTGTTTATAGATGGGGCTAGKGGCGGATCCAGGGGAGGTGCCTTGCACACCCCTTTTTTGACGACATATTTTTTAATATATCAGTATAAACATTGTTTTCTGCTGTTTATACTCCTGTTGTACTTTAATCGAGAAAATGAGTACCATACACAACATGTGTCTGCCACTGTGCTACCTAACAATCTATTTGAGTAGTGTAGTCAAAGGAATGTTGCAATAAAGGTCAAATTGCTTCTGGTCAAATTGTGAATAATTTTCTTGCTCTAGACAGTAATGATCAGTTCCATATGTTACTGACAAACTGCCCTTGGGGGCCATTTTGGCACAGCTAATCTTCCATTGGGCCACCTAAGAAAAATATACAATTTAATATAAGTAAGCTAAAATCATAATAAAAATGTATCCATTATAGTTGTCCTTTATAAAATTTTGCCTGGGAAGTGTAAGTTGTATATAGAAATCATGGAGAGAGAAAAAAGAAGCAGTATTGACTGCATTTGATAAGTGAATAWTGTTTACTTGGTTGATTGAAATGCTGGACAGCCAGAGAGTTAACACAGTTTCATCCTCTCAACTCAACTCTCGCCTTACGGACACCCTGCTACAATGGACACCTTAAATAAATAAATAAAGTCTTTTATTTTGAGAGGGTAGCACGCAATAGTCTCTAGACTTATAAACTTGTGGCCCTCTATATATTCACTCATACTCACTACCTCAACATTCATTATTTTACTACACGACACAACTCACAGCTAGTTTTTGACTGAGGGAGGAAAACCAGCGGACCTGGAGAAAAACCCTCGGAGAAAGGAAGAGAACCAGCCTACAAACTCAAATCACATATAGTCCCGGACCGGGAATCGAACCAGGACCACAGCAGTGATAGACCGGCATTTTAACCGCTCGGCCATCCTTGCTCCCCTAATATTATAATTATATAATTGATATTGTGGACAGTAAAATACTGAATCCCTGGAGAAAAATACAAAGAAATGGCTGAAAGTAGCTTTCGTTTCTACAGACCTTTGCTACTGCGGACACTAAATTATGGTCCTGACGTTGTCCATAATAGCGAGAGTTGACTTGTAGCATTTTGGCAATAAAATAGGATTGGGCCATAAAACAGCCAATGACTACTATTGATATMAGGCAGTGCCTCCCCCTTATCATACCATCGATAAGGAGCTCAGTCACAAGACCACAGGACTCAATTGTGTTACTTGTGATTGCCTCTAACTACTAATTTTGAATTAAGTGGCTGATTTTTTCTTTCTTCTTAGTTCTACCCATAGTTGCCCCTCCATCAGAGAAAGACAAATCCAAGACAGATGTCAAGAAATCCTTCTCTACCTCGGAGAAGACCAAAGTGTTTTACATTGCTGTAGGAGTAGCATGTAGCATTATTTTTATCATTGCTTTAGCAGTGGCTGCAATACATGTACACTCAATGCCTTCTACAAATAARGACGGAACAAGGTAAGAAAGTCCTGATACTCAAGAATTAATGCGGTTTATGGGTATGCGGCTACTGTATGTCTTGCAGTCATGTTGATTCGAGCTCTCAATCGAGGAATAGATCCTTTGCCAAAATGGTGGCCACTCATTTGTATAAATTATTTCAAGCTTATACAAAATACTCCCTGAAATACTTAAAGTGCGGCTACGATGAAAAAAATGTTTTTTGTGCATAATCCAGTACTTCGAAGTCTGACTAAGCATGCTGGCTACTTTTTTTATCAGAAAAGTCAAAAGAATATGAGAAATCGAGCTTCAAAAGTGTCAAACAATATTTTTTTCCTTTAACATGACAAGATTTGAAAAAGGATATCTCTATGGGTTTCAYTGAAACTTACTTGAAAACAGCTTTTGAGTGAAGCATATTCTTTAGTATTTTTTGGGTGTTTTGTATATTATTGTTGAAGAAAAGAATGGTAATGTGTGCCAGCAACCATTTTGGCAAAGGATCTATCAAATTCTTGTTGTAAAACACATATTTATAATGATAACTAGATTTTGATGCTATCATTATGATTTGACTGTAGAAGTATATTGTTTTCAGTGTTTCTGATGGAAGTATTCAAGGACGTGCCAACATGAAGACAGGAAAATCAGCAGAYGAAAGCACAGTACATACAACACTACTTGACCAACCAACACAAGTAGTCCTTCCACCCATGCAGCAATGTAAGTTGACATTCTTAGACATAATACCATGAATTTATAYTGTTTAGTATTTAATAGAAAGCCAAAAATAATTCAAAATTGATTATTTTCTTTCATTCTTTCTTAGTAAATGTCAATTATAAACCAAACTATACCCACCCARCCAACAAACCACGGGCCAATCACATTCCAGTACAAGTCCAAGTCAATCAATCACACATGAATAACTTAGCACCACCCAGAACCAGGTACATGGCTGTCCAGGCAGGTCTAGGAAGTCACCTTGGTAATGGTGATATACCAAGCGCAACCAGTCGTACACAGTCGATATCATCCAGTGTCATGGGCCCACAGAGAAATGCTTCAGAGAGTAGTGCACCAACTGAAGTATACCCCTATGCGGGTGGGTTGACRAGTACCCARAGAGGAAAGTATGGMAATAGGGACATCAAGACTGAGTTGAAGAGCCTGGATGTTGACCTGGATAGAATAACATTAGGAGAATTATTATATGAAGGTAGGAGAGAAGAACTTAGAGTTTTAATACAAGTCTTTACTTCTGTTGAATTATGTTTGGTCTCATCGTACTGATCAAAATGTCTTTTCTCCCAAACCGCGGCATGGTAAACCTGCAATATGCATTTTGTCCAAAATTTAGATCGCCTTCAATATCTTACCAAACAAACTTCATTTTTTTAATTATTAGTCTAATACACACTTGGCTTATTCTTCTTAGAAGCTCAAATTCATTTCTTTAAATTTTTCTGCTTGTACATGAACTTGTTTACCTGTTTCACAAAAAAAATCATCTTCCCTTAGGCACATTCGCAAGGATATACGAAGGAGTACTCACAGGACCAGACGCCGATGAGCTCAAGCAACAAAGTGTCTTAGTCAAGACAGTATCAGAGATCGCATCAGCACAACAAGTCAATCTTATGTTGATAGARTCATCAATGCTRCGAGATTTAACACACAAAAACCTTCTTCCTATAATGAGCGTGTGTCTTGAAGATGAAAAGCAGCCATTAGTYATGTTTCCATTTATGAACAGAGGAAACTTAAAACTTTTCTTGAAGAAATCRAGATCACCAGAAGGCATGTCAAAGGTGAGGATAATTTCACTGAAACAGKTGTAATGGTAGCTATGATAATCGTAATTGTTTGTGTTGTTTGTAGTCCATCACAACGGCCGATCTCGTTCATGTTGGTATACAAATAGCTAAAGGAATGCAATATCTTGCTCGACGAAAAATTGTACATAAAGACTTGGCAGCGCGGAATTGCTTGTAAGTATTCACTTTGTATTCCTTGATCTCTTAATTTTCCCTCTGTATCTTTCATTTCTTTTCTCCAACCATTCGATCTTTCATTCATTCCATCTTCTTCTCATTCACGGATATATTCAGACGTCGTCCAAGATACGAGGCCCCGGATTCCATGCTCCTGGATTCCGGATTCCATGAAACATTTCGCATGGATTCTGGATTTCAACAGCATTTGATTCCTAATTTTTCTAGTCTACAATTAGGAAGCATTTCAGATTGTGTCATGGGGCAACAGACTTCGTCTTTATCTGCTTGCTTTAAACAGTTTTTATAAGGTTTAGGTACAATTTATGAAAAAATTTTTTTTACATTTCTCAATAGTCTTGACGATGAACTAAACGTCAAAGTAACAGACTGTGCGTTATCACGTGATCTCTTCCCTAACGATTACTGTTGCTTATGTGATAACGAGAATAGACCTGTCAAATGGATGGCCGTCGAAAGCCTGGAACACAATCGCTATTCAGTATCTAGTGATGTGGTAAGTGCTTTGGATTATAAAGAGGGGAGGGGTAAGGTGATTTGTCTCGACCTCGTTCCCAGACCCTTTTACCTACGTTTGGAAAAATGGACCTGGGATCGAGGTTTGATCCGCCTATAATTAGACGTGTTTTTATGAGAAATCAAAAACAAAGCAGCAAATTATTTTATGGCTGCTGAGAGGTAAAACAAACAATCAAGCATTTCCTTTCATTCTCCATACAATTTGATGAAACAAAACCAAACAACAACAAACAAAAACAAGTTGCTAATGTAAGTTTGTAACATTTATAAAACAAATTTATCTTAGTCGACTATTTTAAGATGTTCGAATTGTTTGTAAGGTAACATAAGGAAGGTCAATTTGACTTAAACCCACGTAGGATACTATGAGTTTTGTGTTAATGGTTTTTAACAGTTCTCGATCGTATTACCGGATCCTACCTTCTCTAGAATTTCCTGTTAGGCACAAGTATTTCCTTAATTACGATGTTGTTGTGGCTTGTTGCTCTTCAAGTGTTTTATTTGCTGCACGTACGACTTACCAAGACCACTCTTATCCTATTGKTTTTCAATTGGCTGTGACGTATTGCATTTATTTTGGCATTGGGATACCTGTTTTATGTTAGACTGCGAAGAAAGTGGAAACGAGTATTTGTTCTTGGAGCTCGGTATTAGTTTTTGAAACAGGTAGCCCAACTTGTKTTACAACCGTCGGATTTTSTTGACTCATCTTCATTTTTGTGATATCGCAGCAAGATCGAGTATTTCCGCTATTAATGAGCATCAAAAAAAAAAAAAAAAAAAAAAGAAATGAAAAGAAAAGAAAAGCAAAGTATAACAATTTTTTTTATATTGGCGCGAATATATGCTTTCACTTGGAAAATATGATTTTGTCTTGTTCAGAATTGTGTACAACTGAATCTCGTTTATACGGAATCTAGAAACATCAGCGTCTTTTTGGGAAGAGGTTCTTAAGGGGCAGGAGGAGGACAGGGGGGGGGTGTTATGTCTTCTCTCTAAATGCTCTATATTTATTMTTTGTAGTGGGCCTATGGAGTCTTACTATGGGAACTAATGACATTAGCTCAGCAACCGTACGCCAACATAGACGCTTTCGAAATGTTGAATTTTCTSAAGAAGGGTCATCGAATAGCACAACCGTTGAACTGTCCAGATGAACTKTTCACTGTTATTGCATGTTGCTGGGCGTTGTCCGAAGACGAACGACCGAATTTTGGACAGCTGATAGCGTGCCTTACAGAATTTAATAATGCTTTAAGCAATTTTGTGTGATAATGGCTGAAACACGAATGACACTCGATAGGTATCAAACCGTTTCCAGAGATTGATTGGAAACGCCTGTATAGTTCCTGGATCGAAAAATGCTGTATTTCCTGGACGTACAACCGAGTTCGAACAGTTTTTATCTTGTCTTATACAGAATTTGATAATGTGTTGAGCATTTTTATTTGATAGTAGAGATGGAAKTGAGTGTACACCAAGGTTTCAAAGTCTTTCCAGAATTTGTTTGGAAACCGACTGCACTTCCTGGACGAACGACTAAGCTAATTGTCTGTACTAATTGGCTAGTAATTGGCTGTACAAATTAACCAATGCAAGAATGGTGCAATTCATATTGAACGAAAATTGTTCAGATATTGATGGMTTGGATTCGCATTGGAAGAAAACGTTTGAAGTATCTCACATYTGTTTGTATTCGACCATGCTTGGAGATGGGACAATATTGCTGTTACTATGGATACCTAGAGAATCGATCAAAAGGCTGTAGTTCAAGTRCTAGAGCTTTTGTAACCAACTACAAGGACCAAGTCATCTTCCAAACACATTTATTATTTGGATTTGACTGTTGGTTATGATATAAAGAATTATTAAGACACTGTTGGCTTGTTGAGAACTAAAAATGATCCCTGCGATCTATACTAAAGTCTCCCATTTAGAACTTCATTGACTGAAGAAAAGTGACTTTTTACGTGGTTGACATGATGGCTTACCTACTTTTAAGTTTTAGCTGAATAGGAATGAATTCGGTGTAACCAACARCCGACATCGTGAATGACAAAGTGACAGATGTTGTCGATAATCTTCAAAAAACTGCTCTGAATTTCCATCTTTGTGGACAACTGGTAGACAGCTAATTAGCTTTAAATGAACTGAAACTGAATGGACATGAATAAAGAATTGCACACGTGATGGACCGTCATTTGTAGTAATAACATTGCAGTCGGTTTTATTTTCTATAGAAATAATTTTYCTCTTGATCAGTCGGAGTTACCACTGGACGGTAATTCCAAGTCATTTCAAGTCAGTGTGAAATTAGGTAAATGAAGATAGAAGGGAATAGGGATGAATKAATTTTAATTCACATTTCCTTTTTTTCTAAATTGTGAATTGAACGGAATGATTAAGAAAGAAAGAAAATTGAAAGAGAAAACAAGCRGAARGCATTCTCAATGGAAATKGGAGCTTGTTTTTATCTCTTTGCCAGATRTTTCRTTCAAAAGGTCGAACARTCCTGTGTGACATCTATGTCGATCATGTCGGCTTTACATGTCAAGGAATGTTATTAAGTTCCTGCGGGGTTTTCTTTTTTTCTCTTGCGGGGTTTAAAGGAAGACATTTATAATTATACAGCATAATTTTCTATTTTCATGAGAAAGGAGAACGACATAATTGCTTGGACGTGTAAAAAAGCTTTGAAGTTTCCACGAAGACCAGTGGAATCTTGTGTAAAATCATTTTTTGCAAGCAYTGCGCATGTGCGAATAGATGATATTAGTATTCTATTTATAGATATTACAACGTTACAAATAATGATGAATGAATGTTATTGTGTACATAGTGTTGTATATTTACTRGTTATACACGCGGCGAATAAAGGCAAAGACTGTTAGATTTATGACATAAATGATTCTGTTTCATTTTTAAGAGGAATGAATCGCGTTTTATATATTTTTTTCTTTGAAAAAAAAAAAATGCTGAGATATGATAGTCGTTGTAAAGTGATTTTTCGTGATGTATAGTTAAGACGTTTAGCGACTTTGGTTCTTTTGTATTTTGTTGTCTAGAGTGTTTTTTTTTTTTTTTTCACGAAGCCTGTGAAATACTCTTTAACATTCTACATTTTATATTGTTTCATTTTGCAGGTTTTTCTTTGTTTTCAACTATTTTTGACTAAATTACACTTGTTTCACGGGTTTAACGAAAACCACTTTTGAGCTTTCTTTGCGTTCATTAACCATTTTTCAGGAAAAGAAACTAAATCTAATAAGACCAATTCTTGTTAAGAGTATTTCTTGGTTTTACAGAACAAAACTAAACAAAAATAGCATTCTAATTTTATCGCTGCCTCAYTGACTGTATATCTCACTAGCAGGTTAGACTCCTAGTAGTAGATTGTTTTCTAAATATAACCATGACATCATTCAGATGACATCATTCATAAACAAGCATGACAAACAAAGGCCGTTATAWCGACTCGAAACSGTTGCTAGGAGGGMGCTCAGTTGCTAAGCATATTCCACTGCGAACCAGTAAACCGAAACCACGTGTTTGACTTATTCGATTAAACTGAAACATTTGAAAATTCAGTTGCACTTTAAAATTTGAATATAATTTTCATATGAAAATTAAATGTTTCCATTAAGTTRCCTGGGGCTGAATTTTTGTTRTATTTGTTTTAAAATGTCATTTAATTTCTGCAACTTAGTAAACAACATYCAAAAATGTTAGGTAAACCATAAGTGGAAACGCAAAGCGCCGTGTCCACTTTGGCCATTAAAATGTGTAAAAAAAACATAGGTACATTTGAACAAGCAATTAATACTCTCATCTTATATAAATAAAGAAACTGAAAACAACAACAAAAATGCAGGGTTTCGATCCAAATTACTAATTCCAATATAAATATTTTTTGCATAATGTCATACTTTGAGTGGCATCCTTCAAATCTATTCTACTATTAATTTCCTTAAAAACGGATTTTTTTCAACGGTCTTGGCCAACTTGGACACGACCTTTCGGAACCAAATGGCTAGTTTTCGAAAAGACAGATATAGTTACGGAAACGATAGTGATTTTAGAACATGACTCATGAGGAAGCCAAGCGTTGGACAAAGTAAGCGAACTTCAAGTGCTCAACATAGAACAGTACTTTGCAAATCCCTCTCAATGTCTCCTTGGTAAAGTGGTAATACGAATCTTTCTCATCTCAGAAAATTCGTGACGAATTCTGGCAATGACTGCATTGGTAAATTAAGTCTTCTAAGTGGGTTAATTGAAAAAAAGAACGGGTTTTTCTAATAGAAATCATTTAATATGTAATCAATTGTGCCGACTAATATACACAATAGAGGAGCACAGACAGTTAAAAATCGGTATTGATAACAGAGAATTTTTCCCRAGAAATAAGATTTAAGATTATATATCATGTTGAGCTTCTCAAAATCGTTGCTCAAATATTGACCCTACAGCAAAAAGGTTGCCAAAAATGTGTCCAATCAAATTCAATGAAAATATTCAAGCGCGTAAACGCGACTTATTGACTCAAAAGAATGGCAAATAGAAACCCAACACGCCGCCCCAGTTTTTACCCAAATTTGTAAATGATAAATTCATGAACGGAAAAAATTCAGATGATGTTAATCACGATATTTACAGTTCGGCTGATGGAAATTGTTTTGCCAGTGTRCTCGCCTAACAAAGCCGCTAGTTGTTAGTTTGTATTTGATACCGATTCTATTCTAAAGACATCAATGTCCAACAGCGCGTCTATTGATGTGCATATAAGCTTGAATGAATAAAGAGTCAGAACGAGTGGAGTGTCTCTCGACTTCCCATTGGTTAACGCGCTGAGGGAACTAACCACGAGAAACCAATCGACATCTCGAAGGCGACAGCAGATTGAATTTTACATGGCATCGAGAAGCCAACGAGTTTTTAGCGGTTAGACTTAGACTGATGCATGACGTGTGATGACGTGCCTTTTTGGGCGCAAATGGAAGGGTGCACGTGGTTGAATAACACAGGCTTCCCCTAGCTCTTCACCTGTTTAAACGAATATGCCTTCTTGAAGTTGATAACAATCAATGACTCTTCACTGCTGCAACAAGAATGACTAACCTGATTAATTCTAGTCGTATTTCGACTTGAAAGTTGCAAAGCAAGCCTTGGAAAAGCTCGTTTTGGAGTATTTGAATGRCGAGAAATGAACGGCTGTTTTGATTTCACGGTTCGCTACAGCGTTGTGTCTAGCTCGTGAAACAGCTATGCTTCTAATTCAAGTTATTACCTGGTTTGGAATTCTAGTTATTAGAGCAAATACTGCCTCAAGTAAGTGTTACAGTTTTTTTGCCTCTGTTTATTTCCTGGTTGCTTTGAATTGTCTAAATATAGCGAATATGAATGTACCGATTTTATTCCAAGTAGCGTAACATGACCATACCCTCAATAATATTCCTAACGTCCCTACGCTCTTCTAGATGTTTAAAACTTACCTAAAGGGACAAATAATTCAAGTCTAAAGGCTTTAAAAGAGAGGGGAAATTGCCAGCAAAAGAACTTTTCATTCATGTGTGCATAAAATGCCTCCTGTATTTATGATAAACAAGAAACTCAACATAAATTATAAGTTTACTTATCTCACTTACAAAGAGAGAATTTTTCTTTGGGTCTTATAATAGCCGCGAGCCGCTTACTAAACTTAACTGCTTGCTACTTTACACAAAGGGTTTTGTCTGCGAGAGAGGAAAATTGTATTCAACGATAATTATAAGCATTACGATGTCACATTGTCGAGTGACCGGTTTGGTTAAGACCAACACGTACGCGCGCCAAACACAAATCACTGAAWTTTTTTCCAAAAATTTAAAGTGATAAAATTCTGTTTTCATTTCTGAATCCAAATATCTTTTTGCGTGTCTCACTTTGCTGCCTAAGGACTTTCCGCTGAGAAATAATTAGATGTATTTTTGCTCATATTACTTTACTATTCGTTGAGTTGATCATGACAAATAACCTAGAAATCAACTACGCGATGCAYAAAATCTTCCGAGAATATGATTTACGACCAGAAAGCAAAACACTTTCACTAGAAATATCAGAATTTTCAACAAAAGACGAAGAAAGAGCGAAAAAAATAAATAAACACAGCATATTTTGCCTTGGCCTTCGTCGGAGTGTGGTGTCAAGCGAGAAAGTCTTGTAGTACTTTGACAGATTCGAAAAACACAACAAGAAAAGAAATAATTTTGAGATCCTCGCGTTTCCATGGTATTTACGACATTTTTCAAAATCCCCCGAAAGTCGAACAGATCTCTGAAATTTCTAAGTTAAACCATTTTAATCCAAACGTTTTATCTCTATATTTTGATATTTTTTGTTCCCATTTTTTCCACGGATTATTTTACCTTTCTGTTTAAATAATTAACAGAGATCTGCTAATAGTTTTTCGTATATATTTATAAACAGGTATATGTTTTAAAATACTGAAGCATTTCAAGTCAAATAACACACGCTTTTCAGTGATATCGTCAGGAATGATTTTTTCACGAATATTTCCTCTTCCTATCAAGAAAAAGTGGTGAATTTATGTATTTAAAACAAGGAGTCAAAATTACCTAGAAAGCAATAAGGTCTAAATTAAGAGCATTAGTAATATTCGGCCAATATTGGTCTTGTTGAGGCCTCTCGAAATTTTTCTCCCTGAATCAGAATATCAACAAAAATATAAAAAAGTCGGTCTTTAATTTAAATTTCCAATTCATATCATCTCCAATCATTTTGTTGTAAATATGCAGTGGCATTTTAGGGAATCTTTAAGGCTTTCGAGTTAAATATTTATACTGACGTTTAATCAGCAACACCAAGAAGGACGAACTGGGCGCCCCAAAATGGTATTTGATTTTTCAAAACAGCCGAGTTCATTGGAATATCAGAAGTCGAAAAACCCACAATTAGACTTGCTATTCACCATCTTTTTGTGTGTCTAAAACGCGCTAATTCTAAAAAGTGTGATCAATTTTCCTTCGCTTATCTCGTGGTTTTTGCGTTATGGGAGATAGTGGCGCTCAGCTGTTAGCATCTGGAGAAGGAACGATGCTCATAGCTTTGGTTTTTGGATCTTGTGCTGCGTTTTTCGTGTTATGTGATTAGCGAAAAATTCAATTTGTGATAGTTTTTGGCTTGCAGGCATAGCTCGCGTTCAATGGGTTTACTAGATCGTATTTGTGACTCCCTGATTGAAGAATATCGTTAAAATTGCATTAACTTTGATATGGCGTGGCATGTTATTAGCTGGAAACCCCTTGCCTTCTGCGGGAGAACTCATTTGTTGATATTTCATACTAAATAAGATTTGAGTTATTGAAAAAAAAAGAGCCACGAAAATTTCACGGGAAAAAATGTTCGAAACCCGATGAGTCACAGTTCAGGAATGCAGCTACGAGACAACAAGCCAAGCCATTTTGAGCGCCAWGGAAAACTTACTCAATTTTAAAAACATATATCTCGTTACAGATAAGCTTAAACGTGGGAAACACAAAACGTCTAAGATGTAAAATCACAATTAAGGCAGAAAAAAACAACTGAGATGTATTATACTAAAAGGAACGTGTGAATATCTATAATTAATTTACTCAATTCTTGTGATTTGTTTTCATAGAATGTTTCGAAAGTGAGGTTTAAAGGTTTTGACACGCATTCTGGGCATGTACTTTGCACCGGTGAATGAAAACCACATGTTTTTGTCACCAATAAGGGAGTGTTTACAACATGGCGATTTTTGTGGGGRAAAAATCCTGCCATCTGCAGTGTTTGTGCCAAAATTTATCTTTCGATCTTTTTAAAAGGAATTTGAACAAAATACTTCACTTTGGAAAATCGGCCGAAAGCCGAACCAATGTAGATTGAGAGGCGATTTGGATGCATGTGTAAATGTCTCTATATTGATAATCAATCTAATAGTTACAAATAGGCTTAATGTCTTGCGTTATGTACCATTTGAAATGAAACTGACTTGTCGCGTCCTCCGACTTAGAAACCGTTCAAAAACTCTGAAATATTGTCACTGACTTGTATAGTTGCTCTAAAATTGTCTTGAAAAATGATTGATGTTTTTTGGCGATAACGATTTCAATGTTGATGTTCGTATCAGTTTGACTATCTTGCGCTCCTTGCACGTCAACGAGACATTCCAACCACTCCATATCTCGGTTTGAAAGTCTTGCTTTTTCTTTTCAGAAAAAATCTTTGCTTGCTTTAGCTTTCCTCTCAACTGTGGCTGATTTGAATCAAGCCATTGCCATCACTGCTGGGCGATTCAAAAATTGATTGCGCAATGCACAATTTGTCTAACCATTGTAAGGAAATTTATCTGAAATATTCTTTAATTGAATAGAAAACTTATTTATAAGTGATTGCTTGTTAATTCTATGTATTGGTCAATCGGCCTACGCGTTTTTTTAGAAAACATTCTTTCCATTCCAATAAAGTAACCCTAAATCTAAATTTCTCTTGTAAATACATGTTTTTCAATTGTCGAGCTATAAAACCAAGATAAAATGCTGAGGTTTTGAACAAGACTGCCATTGAATTAAAATAATTGTTATCAGCTATATTCTAGCAATCCTCTTAGATTGAAGTTTCAGCTCTTGGAAAAATTGCTTATCGATATTCTTGCTTCTCAAATGTCTCAAATCGAATCGGTTGGATCTTTCAATTCCGCACCGAAAAATCGAAAAGAAAGACTGGTGTAAATTGTGGCTTTGTCGAAACRAGGAATGTTTCATAACCGAAGTATTTCAACTGAACAGAAAATAGTTGTTTTCTCAGCTCTACCTTGTTAAGTTTTAAGTGAATTATTTTTTCATCAGTCCGATATCATTGTTTTGTGCTCGCTTATTTTCACGATACAGAAAAAGTGGTTGAAATATGAGCCCTCATTGATACATATTTTAGCTTTTCTCGGAGTTCAAGATAACTTAAAAAAAGTTAAACGAGAGAAAACAAAGGGAATGAAAGAAACATCTTCTGTTTCATCTTGGGAAACGTATTCAGTGGCGAGAAACCATTTAAGTGTCATGGTAGAATTAATAACTACAACGCTGTGAAACCATTTGACTGTTAAAAACCAATCCAATGCATTTTGAATAAACCATTTAAATTTTGCTGCAAACATTGGTCATAAGCCGTTTTTATTACAAAAACTAGAGTGTCGAAGTATGGAAGCTATTCCATGAATCGCAGTTTATCTGAGAAAGGCAATGCTCTCTTTCGGTCGAAATTATTGGCGATCTCAACGTCTTTCAATTATTTTTATTGTCATTATATGAACAAAAAACTTGAGGTATCATTTGTTTTCGTTGAAAAAGTACAGAACTCAGTGTAAGTTAGACGTGTTACTAGTAGGTCGTTCTTTACACTCAAATAATAATAGAGAATTACTTCAAGAATAGAGCGAAAATTTTGAAAAACAAGCGTTTGTTTGGCGGGGAGGGTGTTTTTCGTCTACTATACATTTCTTTGCTTGGATTTTTCGTCTCACGCTTTTAATCTGTTTTTTTGGCTATTTGTACAAAACGTATTGTTCTGATATTAGTTGTAACACGCTATTCAATACCTCGGTATGAATATAAAACCCAATATTTGACTCGGAGTCAGACGTAAAGCTCAAATTAAAAACATTAAAAATCATACTCTAGGAATAACGACAATGAAATAGTTACAATTGTAAATAGTCCGCGACTTTGTAATTGTAATCTTTGCGTTAGCAAACTTAGGTTTGTGAATGAAATGTTGTAACGTTTGTTAGTACAGGGAAACTGTCTCCCTAGTATTACACATTGGTAGTTATTAATCATACGAACTTTTTGAAAATGATCCAAAGTGATCTACTAATGCTTAGGTGTACGTGTTAACATAGCTTAATGCAATACTGACTATAACGCATTGAACATGATTTATGGTGGAGGAAGACTATCTGAGTCAGCGTTTTGATACGATAATGGCGGTGCTGTAAGGTTTACAGATCTTGGCGTTTGGTTGCCTGCAATGGGCTTGCTATTTTTTTGAAAGAGTAAGTTATGCCGATTATAACAAGGCGACTAAAACTCCTCTTTTCTCCATGACAAGCTAAAAAAAACAATTTTCATTTTATCTCTCAGTTTGTAAAGCGATGTTGCTGCTATTTGCTGAAGTGTTAGATACCAAACAGCAGCCATTACTGTCCCTGTCTTTTCGCTGTACTCAGCAGTACACTGTGCATTTGAAAAGAGTAAGGGAATTAAATTTGAAGCAAAAGTTATAATTGCAATGGTAAACATGAGCATTTATTGTATCTGAGTATTAAGCTAAGAGTTTAATAAACAATGTTTCAACTTTCGTGCGAGTTCATTGGTGTCGGTTTCTTGTCAGTTTCAATGAATCTTTTAGAGTATAAAAAATGGAAATCCCATACACACACAAAGCAAAATGATTTCACAAATTGCGTATTGTATTTATGAATTATTTCCTTGCTTAAGAAAACTAGGCATCAAATTGTATTTTTGCTATTTCTTGGACGTCCTTAAGATATGAATGGGTTTTATTCAGAAGTGTCCATAAGTTGTCCGCCATCTCGTCTCCACTTGAATTTCCAAAAGTCAACACGGTTTCAAATGTGCTCATTTTGTGTTCGTCAGGGCTTTTATTTAATTGCCATTGCTAGGTTTAATAATAGCTTAAAAAGAACCTTAATGAAAAAAGCTTAATGTATACATCTGGTTAAAGTGTTTCAAACAAATTACAATGCTGGGTCCGCGTTTAGTTCTGTTTAGTTCTGCATGGGTKTTGTGTGTTACACAGATTCATTTTTTTCCTTGCAGATGTACTGCAGATTTTCTCAGTTGGAGAATCTACTTGCTGCTAGGATAATATCACGATTTTACTTTCCTATTGTCTTCSAAAAAATTATAATAGAAAACCATGATATTTTTCTATTGGGGACTTTCGGCTAATACCATACAATATCCAACACCATAGTTATCTATCATTTGACAATCCTCTCTCTGAAAGAGTGATTAAGAATAATGTATTTTCATTTACTGCTTTTTCTAGTCATAAGTCTTCTCAATCAATGTGGTTTTTGGTCGACCGCGAGCCCATGTTTACCGGATTTGGCGCTCTTTTTTCCTGTGTTGTTTACTCGTAATTACACTGTTAATTGTCCGAGATTCTTTTGTCAAATCCCAAGATATTGCCTGTTATAGAATTGGCAACAGCGTGCTAAAGATATCAGCTGTAATCTGTATTCACTGTCAACCTACCGGGAGACTTTAGCTCACCGTTGGTATGACTATGTATTAAGAGAAATGGCACCACAAGATGGCTCTACAAGACACGCAACAGTTTGCGCTTTTAATACAAAAGATTTCCTTGAGTAAAATCATAGCAATTAAACAATRTTTTAAAGTTAACAATTTCTTTCTCTAGCCAAAACTATTATCATATCTGTAATATTAACAGTTCTAGATGTTAGACACATCARAGTGAAAACCCATTTTCCGACTTTCAAAATCCTTGTCAGTTTAAAGTCAATTTTCCAAAAATTGGCTGCCAAATTAAGATCTAAGTTTTGTTTGTTTGCTTTTCGGGGWTGTGTCAGAAGCAGTCTCAATGTCGTTTTAAATATCAAAGATATTTTTTCTATAAGGAAAAGCAAACTGCATCTTTGCCGATGTTACATACGTCATGGATGATGAAATCGCCCAATGACATAGGTTCCTAGATGATATATTGCCTTTTTAGCTCTAGTTCGTTATCATTTTTGGATATTATCCAAGCAAACCAAAAAACTCCTTTTCAGTGCCCACCATATCAAAGCAAAGATTATCGAATGTGTTGTATTTGTTAACCWACAATTAAAAGCTTTTAGCTCAACGGCACATCCATCGAAAAGTTTCTCACCTTGTTGTATTTTAACACTAACATCTTAATGGCTATATGAACAATAGTATATGTAAATTCGAGGTATTATTTTACTTTTTTTTAATATTTTATAAAATGCTTCAAAATATTCAAAAATATTGATGCACCTTGGTCTTAAACTGCACCTGACCTTGTCATTAACCACTGACTTTTTAATGGTTCTGGTGGACAATTAAACGAAATAAGCCATAAATCTGTACTATTTTTATACCTTGTATCAAACAGGTTTATTTAAAATACACCAACGTTTTCCATGATGATATTCAATTTTGAGGGAAAAAGCTAATTTGCAGTCGACGCACGTAGTCACTATCTCCTTGGTAATGAATTTGTAGCTCAGCTTTAGGGTTTGTTGACTTTTTTCTTAGTTCGTTGTCAAACGGTCAAGTTCATTCAGTTTCCGTTTAGAAATCCTGTCAAACAAGTTTTTCATTGCGGCAAAGAGTTAAAATTAAGAGCTAGATCTATAAAGTGGCTTCTCAAGTGTTTGCAATGTTATTTTTGCTATGAGGACACTAAACTACTTTTATTATGGCGTTATTCGGAATACAGAGGTTTATACTAGTCATATATAGTAACTACTGGCCGTGTTATTGAGGGGTTCGTAATAAAGAGGTTATTCTAAAACTAATGACTTCACCAGATGGTGGTTTCTAATGTGTTTATTTTGATGAAACGGTTCTCCATATTTACAAGATTCATAACGATAAATATTGCTCTTTTTTTATTTAAAATAGACTATCCTCTCATTATAAATCCTCCTTTTATGACTGATACTATGATTTTATGCGTGATTATAATGATATGGAAACTCCAGAAGTGGTACGTGTGGTGATATGCGGCTTGTTTACTTGGTTTGTAATGTTAGTAGTAATGTTAGTAGTTTTTTAGAGTATCGTCTATGGTTCGGGGTCAGACTGGATGGCGATAGGACCGTTTGGAAGTGACAGCGGCATTCACATATGCAATTTTTATATTCTTCGTTTTCACTATACGTCACAGTGGCTATCTTGGGGGGACTTCAACAAAGGATTCCTCATTAGTATATCTATTGTTCATTTCTCTAACATGGCTACCGGCTTTTTATCTTTTGAATCTTATGGGAATGGTTGAAAAACGATTAATAAGGTTGATTTAGTATTCTTTAGTATTTCCTCCAGTCGGTTGTGTTTAACTAGGTATTGACATTCTTATTTTCCTACTGAATTCGTTATAGTTGGTTTTTTTCCTTTCTTTTGCTTCACGCATTTTCATATCGTTTTCTAGCTTTTCCAGTGTTTTCGTGTCTTGGCTTGGCGTGTGATTTCTTGATATTTATTAACGCTTTCAATTTGTTTTCTTTTGACTTTAGGATGTCCAACGACACAAAAAGCCCAAGCATACTAAACTTAATCAATTAATACATAGATTAAATAAGAAATAAATAAAATATTCTAAAAATAAATAAAGCTCTTTCTGTCTTGTCTCTCTAGCCGAGACAGTCATGATACTGCGATTTGCCGAAGAGCCAGCGGATACACAGTTCGCGCACACTCAGTACGCAGTCCTAAACTGTATCGTAATAGGAAGTCCCAAGCCRAAAGTGACCTGGAGACTAGCGCGTAGTAACGTCGAGGTTACCAACGTTACTGGGCTTCGTTACGTCATGTCGAATGGTTCGCTCGTTTTCCCGCCATTTTCGAGGGATCGACTCGATAAATCGCTGCATCAAGCAGATTACCAGTGCCTTGCTAAAAACAAACTGGGCGACATTATCAGTCGAGCGGCTAAACTTCGAGCAGGTAAATCTAAYAATARTTGGGTTTCCTGTGGCTTGATATTCCACAGTAATCCCAWCATTTTCGTTTGTATTTTGGCAGTTGTGATGAAACCTTTTAGTATCTACGCGGTTGATCATAATGTCATGAAGGGTAACACCGCTGTCATCAAAGCAGTCATACCTCGTCACGTGAGAGATTACGTCAAAGTAAAGGCTTGGTACAAAGGCCGTGACGGCATCACTACTGGAGCACGAATCTCGGTCATGCCAACGGGGGATCTKGTAATCACTAACGTGCGATCTGATGACGCAGAGAATGGTGCAATGTACTACTTTACGGCTATTAACAGACTCACTGGGGATATTCAAGCCAGCAATCCTGCCAAATTAACGCTTATAGGTTAGTTGCTTTRCATTACGTTTTGCCTTACGASAARCACTTATCCATGTGGGAAAGGATATATGAGCATGCGTATTAAGACAGATATCAAGCTGCACTAAAAAGCAGATAACAATACTTTGTTTTCTTTTCACAGACCAGCGAATTTCTAAAACTCGCATGACGTCCAATGTTCACAATCTGACGATAACTGCTGGAGAAATCGCTGAGTTACAGTGCACGGCAGAAGGCTATCCCATTCCGCACTACGCATGGCGAAAAAACGGTGCACCGCTGATCATCAGGGATCGTTTCAAGCTGTTTGCGGGCGGCAGTCTGAGAATTGAGCGTACTGTGTCGGAAGACGAAGCAATATATACTTGTGAAGCCATTAATAGTGTAGGMTCTGATAGCGTCACTGTGCATTTGAAGGTTCACGGTAAGTTACAAAGTTTGGTTCACGCAGCGTTATTTATAGACGAACCAAAGTAATAAGTGTCAGTGAACGTTGCATTTTACATGTACCGACATTTTAAAATGTTAATGAACAGTAACAAAATAGTAATAATTCGCATTCAATTTGGTACATGTGAGATTTAAGTTTGACTCAGACATTATTATTTGTGTTATGTTGTARATTGTAATCACATAAAAAACAATTGTAATAATTAGTGCTCTTGTTGACATCTTTTCTCTATCTTTCCCAGTACCAATTACATTCAAAGAGCGGCCTAAACCACAGGCAGCCCTTATGGGATTCGCTAGGATGGAGATGGAGTGTGACGTCATAGGCGAACCCAAACCTGTGGTCACGTGGTACCACAATGCAAAGCCAGTGGATATTTCAAAAGAGCGAATCAGCATCAAGTACAATAAYCTGGTCTTTGCTACCGTATATGGGAATGATATTGGCGTTTATCAGTGCGTGGCTGATAATGGAGTCGACCTGGAGCAGAGGAGTGCAGAGTTYTACGTTGGATGTGAGTTTTAACTCCGTTTTAATATTCCGTCTAGGCTCTTTAATTAAACGTGACTATTTTTCCTTCATACGTTGGGGTTTAGTTTGTCCATGCGTAGCTCTTAAATGGACGCACTCTTTGTCCTTACAAAACTCTTTGTGGATTTACTCAGCTGTAGATGTTATATTGTATTTTTTTTCCTTATTCATGTTTGTTCGTTAATTTGTTTATTTTGTTTTATGCTTCTTATCTTTATTGTTCCATGACCTTCATTTAGTTAATCTTCCAAAATTCACGACTTCATCCGGAATAAAGGTTCTTCATCCAGGAAACACACTGGAGATATCATGCGAGGTATCCTCGACCCCAACTCCCTTCGACGTACTCTGGTACCACGATGGAGAGCGCCTGGGCAATAACCAAGGCTATGTCATAACCCAAATTCCTGGACACCGAAAGTATAGCAGGCTCAGTAAATTAAAAAAATCAGCGGTGTCGCTAGGAGACAGCGGGGAATACAAATGCGGTGCAAACAATGGAGCGGGGTCGGTAGAGCAGAACATCACAGTTTACGTTAGGGGTTAGTTGACTGATACCATACTTACCATGCACTGATCTTTTATAAAAGTTCCCTTTTGACATGCCCGACTAGTTTAATTCTTTGACAGTCTCCTTCGCACCTGAAAACTAGAAGACTACCCCCACGAGTTTTTGCTCAAGAATCCTTGTATCGTTGCACGTTCTATTTTGATTAGCTGGAAGAATATGCACTAAAACTGCCGTTAAACTAAATTTTATTTAGTCCTTGTTTGAATGGGAGKTATTAGGGGCCTATCACCATTAGTYTTGCTAAAAAAGAGACTGTTGTTTTTGTCGTTGTTGTTGTTGTTGTTGTTGTTGTTGTTATTGTTGTTGTTTTTGATGATGTTATGATCTCTCTACATCTTTAGGAGGACCAAATATAACTTATTTTCTTCACGAAGTAACTGGTGTCCAAGGTCAATCCATTTCCTTACCTTGTCGYGTGAAAGGATATCCACTGCCGAAAATCACTTGGACTAAGTCYGGTCGTCTCAACGCCCTTCCTTATGACCAGCGGCAATCCGTAGCAAGAAATGGAACTCTTTTTATAAAGAACGTTCAGAAGGATGATCGTGGACAGTACAAGTGTACAGCGGTTGCCACCAATGGAAAGAAAGTATCGATTACTGTCAAAGTGAACGTTATGGGTAAGTTTGATTAGCTGTCCATCCATTTATTCATTTATTCATTCCCAGTTACTTCATTCTTGAATTTAATTTTCTCACAGTGGCACCAGTAATCACYCCACTTCAATGGCGCCCAGTCGAAGAAGGTCAGCGGGCATACGAGACGTGCATCGCCGCGGCTGGCGATACGCCTCTCAATGTCACGTGGTTCAAAAATGGTCGACCACTTAACTCAATTGCCGGCGACCTCGAGATCACGAATATCGGACCTTTTGGGAAAGCTATTAGCATTTTTAAAGTACACGAAAGGCATGCTGGGACTTACACATGCGTTGTGGGGAATCGTGCTGGAATTGCGAAAGACTCAGAACAACTCGTAGTCTATCGTAAGTAAGGCTAATAAAAGTTTGATAAATCAATTAAGTATCTATTTTAATTAAGGGGTAAATCCATGATAAATCAGTCTTTGGTCTTTGCAGTTGGCTCCAAGTTTATCGAGGATCCCAAGGACCAGCAGGTCCTAAAACAGCACACTGCACACATGACATGCAAGACAAAAGGCTACCCMCCGGCTCGCGTAGAATGGAGCAAGTTTGTCGGGGGCTCTTTCGAGAATCTTAATGATGACCCAAGATTCAGTCGGCTATTGAATGGGACTTTGGTGATAAGAAATGTGAGCAAGAACGACGAAGGAAAGTACTCCTGTAATGCCTACAATGGAGTTGTTGGCACACCTGTTAGTAGACAAGTCAAACTCATTGTTCATGGTACGTCATAACTGTTGCTATAATGATTTTATGGAAACTAAGCGTTGCGTTGACATTGCTATTTTGAATTTCTTATCACGAGTGTTGCCATGGTAGCTGTTGCCATGGCTGTCACATTGATTGTTGCCTGCGTTATCAATAATAACTCGGAGTAACAACTGTCAACATCTGAACTTTATTTCACTGTCAGCCCCATTCTTTATCCGTTATTTTATTCTATTATTTTTTCTAAGAATAGTGATATTACTTATACAACAGTATAATCCATTGCTTACGTCCAGCAGTACCAGCCGCTATTGTGAGCCCACCAGTGGACCGTTCACAAGTCGTTGATGGTAGTGTTTCCTTCACGTGTGTTGCTATTGGTAACCTTCCAATAGTGATGACGTGGTACAATGGGACAAAGCGTCTGACGTCGAAAGGTCGTGTCCGCATTTGGAGTTATACGACCGACAGTGAGCACATGGTGAATGGTACATTACGAGTAATTAACTTACGACTAAAAGACACCACACAGTATTCTTGTAAAGTGGTGAATAAATTTGGTCAGGACAGAAAGTATTTTCAAATTACTGCTCAAGGTACGGACACATTCCTTACATGCAAAAAACATGTTGTATTTACAGTATGTTGTATGTTTGATCCTTTTTTATCATTTATACAGAGCGTCCATCCCCACCGTCAAAACCAACGATAGGGCGTGTCGGTGCAAAGTCCCTAGTATTACTATGGACTCCAGAGTTTGACGGTAACTCGCCAATAACACGATATATCATTCATTATAAACCTCATGGCATCGAGTGGAAACAAGCAGCAAAGAAGGCCGTACCAGGCACTAAGAGAACATATCGATTACAGCGACTCAAACCCGCCACAAATTATGATGTAAGGCTTTACGCCGAGAACACTATAGGTGTCAGTAAACCAGGAAAGGTGGTGACSAAAAAGACCAGGGAAGATGGTAAGCGTACAACGTTCTTTACAGTGATGGTAATGTTGCTTTGCTTTGCTTTAGAGTCAATTTCGTAYGAGTGGAAAACAGACGGTAYTGTACTGTAACYGTAATCGWACTGTAACCAAATTCTAGTGTCTCATTGCTTCACAAAAATTGTGCAGRYCAGGTCCGGTRACTGTGCGKTAACCGTGYGGTAATTTCTACCGTACGTTTCCCACTCATACGAAATTGACTCTATTACTCAATAACCTTTGATTACCGTAATTTGTTTTCAGCTCCTTCAAGTCCTCCTAAGATCGTCAACACTACAGCCATATCGTCGACAGAAGTTTATATCGAATGGCAGGTAAGTAAGGTGTGGTTTTTATCTCAAGGGCGGGGCAAGAGGGAGGGTGTATAATGTGCGTTCCTCGTCCCTTTAATTTTGTTCTTTTTAAGATAAACAAATGACGTAACTCATTCTTTTATGGTTAATCAACAGCCCCCTTCCAAGGAACACTGTAACGGGATAATCATTGGTTTCTACATATCCTACAATCAAGTCAACAGAAACAAAGATTTCCACAATAAGACAGTGTCAGGCGGGGCCATACGAAGTCACGTGATCACCGGTCTAGCAAAGTACAAGCTATATAATATCTTTATCCAAGCATTCACACGTGCTGGACCCAGTCCTCGCACTAAGAAAGTGTTCATAAAGACGCAAGAAGATGGTATGTTTTTGTGTTTGTCCACGGAAAYAAACTAATACAAATAATCGTTGTGYATATTTTCAGTCCCCAGCAAACCGCCACAGTTTGTCGAAGTTAAAGTACTGAGCTCGCAAAGCATTTCAGTTACGTGGAAGCGCCCHCATCACGATTCCATACATGGTCAATTAAGGGGGTATAAGATACGATTCTATCGTGTTAGTGACCCTGATAAGGCACAAGAAGTGAGAGTTGGAAGTAAGATTCTCAATGAAACCCTCAAGAAGCTTGGGAAGTTCACAACATATAAAATTAGCGTTTTGGCTTTTACCAGGAAAGGTGAYGGTGTTTCGAGTAACGARATAAAAGTCACGACCGCAGAGGATAGTAAGTCGACCTCGTGATATTTCATTGATAGAATCAAGCGTTTGTAAGAGACATTGACGAAACAAAGAACTAAAAATACAGATGATATTAGAATCAAATGAAGAAATGAACTATTGAATAAGTAAATGAAAAATGAATAAAACATCGAATGAATGAATGAAGTGTAAGTGAGTGTAAGAGACAATGAAGGAATGTCTGCGGGTCTAGATGAATGGGATGTTTTTTTCGTAGCTGGTTTGTAAATTGATAATAATGTTTTCACCCTTGACATTGTAGTTCCAGGTCCTCCCGATGACGTCCAAGCTATACCAGTGTACCGCAAGCAAATCCGAGTGCGGTGGAAGAAACCCAAGGAGCCAAATGGCATCATTCGTGAATACAAAGTCTTCTTTAGTACCAAAATTACATCGCCACTTAACGATACCTCGAGTAAGCTCTACATGCTGGCTACAAAAGGCAATGTTACATCTGGATATCTCAAGAACTTGGAGTCCGATACTTTGTATTATTTCTGGGTCGTTGCGAGGACGTCCGTGGGAACTGGTAACGAATCAGCAATGGTCAAAAAGAGAACGCAAGATAAGAGTAAGTTGGAATTTGCTAAATGACTGAATAAATAAATGGACGAATGGATGAAGACATGAATTATTGAATAGATGAGATATTAAAATATGTATGTTTTCCCCCTACTCATTCAGTCGTTGCCAATATATTTGATCCCAAACTACCCGACACTATGGAAAAATGGAAGACGTCAGCCATTTTGAATTGTGAATCATATGGTGATCCTAAGCCCACCATATTTTGGTACAGCGGAGGTAAGAACMATTGCAATCAAATCCAGGAAAAAGCGAGGCCTAGAAATTCTTGTTGTCACCATCAGGTAAAGACTTATCAAAAGAAGACAAATATGAGCAATTCAGCAATGGTTCACTGAAGATAAAGTATCTTAAAGAATCGGACACTGGAGACTACGTATGCACAGCAAGCAATTTACTCGGAAAGAAAACAGTTATCAGAAAACTGAAAGTACAAAGTATGTCATGCACTTGATATTGCAGTCAACTCACACCTCACCCTGATGATACGAACACTTCATTAATACCGGACAATTGACGAAGATACAGTCAACTCTCGCCTTATACGAACACCCCTATATTGCGGACACCTCGGAACACGAAATATATAATCCGCGGCGAAAAATACSAAAGAAATAGCTGAAAGTAAATCCCGATATTATCGACTCTAGCTACTTCGGACACTAAATTATGGTCCGAGRGTGTTCATAATAGCGAGAATTGACTGTATCTCCCTTTACAATCTCCCTTGAATACAAATATCCCGAATGTGTCCGTTATGACGAGAGTTGCTGTACATTGCAGTCCTCTTATTTAAAGATTGCTTATTTGTTAATATTGTAATGATTAGATAACTTGTTTCTGTAACACTACATAAGATTCGCAATGTCTCTTTTAGTACCCCCATCTCCTCCYACCGACATCACCTTYAAAAGTGCWGAAGGGATTCCTGGAGCCATTAACATTTCCTGGATACCTGGTTTCGATGGTTACAGYAATGTCACCGTRTTTTTGTTGGAATATAAAGTACAAAGAAAGGAATGGAACGATGTCTATCTATTTAAAAATGCAAAGTTCTACATACTACACAAAGTCGAYCATACCAAACCGTATTTTTTYAAAATGTCCGCTATCAATGGTGTGGGAAGAGGAGGATCTAGTAGGATACTAAAAGTTACATTTGCAGCTAAAGGTAAGGTTTAAAACTTATTRAATATTCATGATCAATGGGGATAATCATATTTAATAATTGTATCATCATCATTACAATCATAATAATGATGATGGTCATCATCCCTTTTTTTTCTGAGGAATCAAAACAACCATTTCCATTACTCATAGCTTGATTCCCCTGTGATAATTTAGGTACCATCGCAACAGTAAAGCAAGTCGACTCCGTCGAAGAAGAAGCCGAAGATAACAATAMAAATAAACGTTTTTATAACGACCCAGCCATTCTTGGTACTCTGATTACTGTCAGTGTCCTCATTATCATTGTGTTACTGCTTCTTGTTGCCTGTCGCTTCAAACATATTACCTGGAAACTACCAACAGGTAACGMATGTGTGTCACGCATTCCTGTCTGTTTGTCACGCATTCTGTYTGTCACGATACCTGTTTGATATAATGAATCTGAAYGTTTGTATTTAAGACTGGAAGGATGTTTGGGATAAAGCTATATTAGGTCATCCAGCACAAAGAAGTGAAGAAACGAGGTATCTAGTGTTCTATTCTTTTTTTTCTTTATTTTAATCCTGTTTTTAATGGTGTTTTTTGTACTATTAGTTCCACACCACCTGACAATCACCATGGTGATGATATGAATGGTAATAACACAGAATCGCGCAGTCCTTCATCTGACGGTCATCTTGCCGACTCGTCSTCGTCTGTCGAGCAAATGGCTTCAACGAGAGGCTCCCTCCTTAGTCTCCCGAGGTCTAGTGGACTTTTACATCACAACCTTGCTCATGAACCAATCATGGAAGAGCCTTTTCCACCCCCTCCCCCACCGTATCAAGGAACATCTCCCATGCGCTCACTACTCCCTCCCCCCATGCATCACGATGATAACATAAGCGACACTTCATCTGAGATCAGCTTTGGGGGTCCTGTGTACCATCGACCAATGTTGCATGACACTGATATCCTGTCACGCTCGCGTCCTACACCGACATCCGCTGATCCATATATATCGCAGCACCCACCCGTGAGATCATTGAATGGAACACCAGGTGTTGCACTGGGCATGCGTGGTCCTGCTGATGGCGGCTCAGAGCTCGATAAYACAAGTTTAGCCATGCGYGGTCACGAATCTAATATGGATCTTCGGAAAACGTTCGGAAGCCGACTGGGGCGAAATAGTAAAACACGAGGAATGAGTGAAGAGACAGTGCGTTCTATATATGCACGAACGCCGGCTTCGGGAATATCTCGGATGCCAGATTCTGACTTCGGGTCTCGTAACGAAATTGGTCGGAAAAGTGTCGCTTCACGAAGRGGGTCMAACGCATCGCAAAAGGTGGCTCCACTACATAAACCTAAAATCGAGAATTTAATCGATGCTACTACGGTGATTTATCGTCGAGATTCGGAATCTTCAAAAGACTCGAACTCTTATCCACCGGAAGTGGAGAGAGCTATTGCTGCTGCACGAGATGCACGTGCATATGACTCTACGTCATCRGAGTATAGTTCGTCACGTGACGAGCTCTATGCCGCTTTAGAATTCGGCAAAAGGAACAATTTTGAAAAGTATTATGGTATACCAACGCTCGAGACGACGTCGATGTCGTCCGAGGCTACAAATAGTAGTGAGCAGGATGGAATTTGTAAATTCTCGGCTAGCCCGAGGACTGTAGGGGATGGTTTTTATGCCCCAGTGCCCTTGAAGCAGTCGTATTATAACCCACGATCAAGATCACGGCAGAATAATGATGCATATCTGTATGTACTAGATCCACGAAGACGAGTTATGGATGTTGGTCCCGTCCGGGTTCGTTCTCAGCATGACCACAAAGGCTCCTTAGTATAATGTCCGTTAAGGACATCATTGCGTCAATGTGTATGGTTACTATGTACACCGAAGGTTTTAAAATGGTTCACTTGACACGCGTACCATCTAAATGACTAACCATTTCAAAATGGCTCCTTATAGTGAYGTCACTGGGACATTTTTAAGATTGTACATCTCAGTACCGGTATGATGATGTACCTATAGGGACATTATTAGTTGTGTTTGTAAATAACTATTGTGTCCATTTTGAGTTTCAACACATCTACAAAGACTGGGATATTGGACATTATTTCTAACCCTGCATGAATGTGTTTATATTGAATACCGACAWGGCCGGATAATGCCAGAAGCGCTTGMAACAAGGAATGCGTTGTAATACCAAACATGCATTGTTTATCKTGCAATGTCCTTGGGGCAGTYAATTTCTACTCCAACAAAAYTATCTACTTAACAATGCGCGAAAARKTATTGACAGCTTGTCTGAGCCGGTTCAATAAGGGGGGTATTTTTAAGGGGGAAAACTGTCTGGTTTATTTTGATGTAAGATGGACTTGAGTAAATCTTTTTTCAGTGAAAATTACCACGTATCAGTATACATCTTACATGAAAACGAACCAAACACAGTATAGATCAAAATAGAGAGTTTATATTGCAGAATAGTACTGAATTGCTGAATAACAGTAATAGCAGTTATATCGCACTATTAAGKCGAAATAGGATTTCTATAATATCATAAAATATCTTGTACCCAACAGAAGTACATTGATTAATAAAAATAACGAAATTAAATTTTTGGAATGCCGTTGCATAAATATCACAAAAATGCTAGAGTCAGGCAAATGTATAGGGCTGGTTCGAATCTAAATGCGMCTCCTCAAAAAACTTCACATAATATAGACCTAATGAGAGGGTGATAAGTGTGTGCCGTGCACATGCAATGCAATGGMWRTCGTACGACAAATCCTTCTCAGAAAAAKAGATAAAAGACGGATGTTGAATAGGAAAAKATMTYCAAKGGTGTTMTTCATCCTGACTGTGGAATAWGCGGAACTTCAAAACAAGGTCATCATGTTATTTCCGTCATGRGCGCGTTCGTGATRCACACCCGATGTTCAACATACAATAACTTTTCGACACCCYGGGAAAATAGAATTYAATGKTTCTTCATTGGTTYTTCATTCAAAGGCCAACAATGTKTAGCATAACATTGGAATACAAATACACGGCTGCAGTGAAGGTCATGCATGTTTTTATTGATAGCGGGAAGGCATTTGAGTATGCATAGATTATATTTACACAATTGATTGTTTTCTCCTTACAAGTTGTAATGATAGTCGTTTTGTACAGGATTTACTAAGACTATTTCTCAGCAATAATACGACCAAAGATTCCTTTCTAAGTATGTTTACCCCAAAAGGGAATCCATGTAGAATATCTGCCTTGCATAGCAAGCTGTACGTCAGACCGTGGTACAGAGAATCATGTTTTCTTCGCGGAAAGCTTTTGTCAGATATAGTTACATACACTTCATGCACTTTTAGGCTTGAATGACTGAATTATTGTTACTTACAAGATATGTACTTCATAATTAAAATATGTCTCTGTTTCAACAAAGGAACGGCTATCCACCGTACTGTATAAAAGTTGCGCTCCACTATAGATTTTACACAGAATTCATCCACTGCAGATTTGGAGTCGTCTAATGGCACCTGACCGCGATCATCCCCTTCGCCGTTTTATACAAGAATAGTCTCCTCCTTGAGCATTTTCAAGGAAATGTAATCCTCGTTTACGCTTCGTTTTAACAGTTCACTGAAAGTATATSTGGCACTTACATAGCCTAATGTCACAAACCGCTTAGAAGGATTGAGTACAAAGACAGTTCCAGTTGTTACAAATCCAAAGAGAACATKCACGTTCACTTTAACTTAATTGTCTTGACCATCGTCTTCAGTCATCCTTGGCAGTTTAAAGATATCAAGCCCGTTCATCTTGTCTTCACCGTAAAGGGTTATTTCCTTTGGCTTTTCTACGTTAACTTTACTGTTCGGCTTTAAAGTTAACACAACCCTTATCATACTGCCTTTGAGAAGTTTAACCTGTCTACCCATTGTTACTGAGTACAATTTCAGTTTCTGCTTGACGTTATCAGGCCTTGAAGTAGTAAAAGGCTKTGGCACTTGAGACATCAGTATCACGTTCTCTYGCTTCCATTTCGTTGTCATTAAAATACTCACTTTCGCAATCTTGTCTATGAGTGTGTTGTTGACGCCATCGATAGTTAGCTGAACGGATAGCCAGTAAAAACCATGTTTTAAAACTTTGATTTTCGAATCATCGTAATTTATCACCAAATTCGAATACATGCTGCCGTCATCTTTTCGAAACCCATCTTCTTCAAAGTTTCTCCGACAAAAGTGTAAGTTGGTTTTACAATCAATGTTCCTTGTWCTCATACKTATGAGATAAAACGTCTCAGTCTCACCGACTCTTTTAGCTGTAAAGAGGAACACAATCCTATCATGAGATATCATGCTCTTATGATTAAACAAAGCTCCATTTAAACCGAAGGCGAAGGACAAAAAATAACTCGTGTATTCGGAATTATAGCTGTATAAAATCGCAGTCATGGCCTGAATTTCGGGATAAAACAGAAACAACATAAGTCTAACGRACGAAAATCAATCAATCAATATGAATCTGTTTAGRCTCATCTCATTCTACTTAAAATGAACTGTTAGACTTTTACGTGGTATTTTGAAGCAAACCAAGGATACTAACCTATTACGGAGAGGTTGTTSTTGTCATAGAAGGCAATGTGTGCCTGGACGCTATGACTGTTCAATAAYTCTAGAGAAAATGAATGCAATCATTAGCTTATTCACAAACAATATATCGGTTAAGTTTATTTAATCTAAGGTGTGTCAACATACCCTAAATACACACTTCTTGTTAATAAGAATATCTATCTAATGACGAAGCGATGACCGCGGTTTTTACGATTACCAGTAAGTGTTTAAAAAAGTCAATTCATAAAGTGGCTTACGAAACACAACAAGAATCTACATACGCATTTTCGAGGATGAATCTCGACTATTATCTGATTTGTAGTACTTTTAAGACTGGAAGAATATAGGTTCTTATAAGATGGGAGAGACGGTGTGACATCCTCAGGACTTAAAAGTATTACACACCAACCAATACTTCTTGGACTTCTCGCAGGTTTAAATGAATGGTTTTTAGCTGTGTGAAGGCAATATTTCGTATCACATTTCTTTCGCCTTTTAGCTGATAACCTCATTGAATGATTATTGCTTGGTTTCAATCTGTTCCCGAGAAAAGAAGACAAAAGATCGGCGGCCATGTGAACAATAATGACAAATTTCCTTTGTTGAAGTTCAACTAAGATGGCCGCTGTGGGATGCTATTGCCGAACAAAGAATTGATCGACCGTGATGTACGGAACATAGAACCATAGACCCTTGTGCATGTGACTAACTAAGGTCTGCGGAAAATGAAATTTCATTCTCTAACTCAGAGTTTTCTTATTTTATTTGTTAATATCATGATTTCTCATGATATTTATGTCTTTGAGTGTAAAAATGGGGTAGGTAGCCACTTTCATCCACCCTTGGAAGACTAGAAAGCAAAAATTGTCCTTCGAGGCACATAAATGGGATCTATAGAAGACAGAACTGTTCCTCCCGTTTTGGATCTGCTCAAGAGCACAAGAGAAATCAGAAAGCTGTTTCTTAAAATATCCATAATTATGAAGCAAGTATTATATCGTTGTSTAAAGTCATCAAATCATTACAATCAAGTCATCACTATCTATCCGCCATGATGTAATGACGAGTCTATGCATACCCACCTATCACTTTTTCCTTGATCGTCATTTGTATTGCGTCTCTCAGCCATAGTTTTGTTTTGTTCACTTCTTTTTGAACTTCTTTTAGAACTGCAGTCCAAACTAAATCAAAAACAAATATTCTTACAATATGAAAGTCTATATGGAAGACATGTTCACCAAACAATGCTTACYTAGTTGCTTCAAGAACGTGCAACGATCTTCCTTCTTGAAAGGACAATCAGCTGTAATGGCATTAAAAAAATATATTCAAGCTGAAAACTTTTTTCTCCACTTGATTTCCACCAATTCCGAGTGACAAGTATTGCGTATGTTTTTAAAATTGTCACTGTTTCAGCCTTTCAGTTGTTGTTTGGTGCGCGGRTCATACTGTACTGACAAATTTGACCATCAAATTCGTATTACCGTTGGACTAAAATGTACAAGTATAAAACGATGGAGTGAAGTGATCCATTAAACTTCATTAGTGTGTGGCTAAAAAGTGCTGACTAAAGCAGATATGTCATCTAGCTGGATKTTGTTGTAGTGCTATTTTAAAAGTGTTATAATTCGGTAATGTTTAAGTGTAATTACGTTKTTTCGTGTGTATTATTAACTAATAATAAACACGGAAGTACGAGATCGATATCTAAATTACCAAAATAATCGATTCTTCGTGCATTATCAAAACGACCTAGACAATGTTTACATGCGGAGGAATAAAAAAAAGCTGAACAATTTGATGACTATGACATGCTATGAAAATATTCTACCGATATAAAATCTTTAATTGACTCGTGTAATACCACTATAAACGTGCGTGATGGTCATCGCGAGGGATTCGAACATAAAATTATGATGACTAAACATTTCTTTACTTTAAGCTCCACTTTTCTTCAATTGTASCCTAAGTGATTTAATTGTACTAATCTACCGTCACAAGGCGTACTTATCAAAGATCTCTTGGGCTTGTTGTGTGTAGAAATCTGCAAGAAAACAAAAAGATCATGTTGTAAGTTCTGACCTTCGTCTAAGAACATAAGTACGAATGTCAATGAAACGTCCAAACACACAGCGTGYTYTGACGACAAATCCTGTTCTATTGAACWMGAAGGAAACTCYCCATCTTTGATTTTACCTTTTTTATGGTCTCTTCTTTAGTTCTTCCACCATAAGGAGGAGCAGGCTTAATCTGCATYTTCTGTTTTCTCATCATTTGTCTTAAGTCGTTGACATCTTTATGGCATGCCTTGATATCTTTCGAAAGCTCAGCTCTCTGATAAAGTTGGGTAGAAATCAGAAAACAAGCAATCACTAAATTTATCACCAATACGGCAAAGATTAGTGCCTTTAGTTTGTGGCTTTCTGTACAGCAACAGTGTTGGTTGGTTGTTGACGGCTTCATGTCTGATGTGGRTCTGTCTCGGCTACCGTGACAGTGAATGAAAAACTTGGGGAAAAATCCCTCTTTCAGTGCTTTGCATCTATTAATTTCAATTTGGCGAACATCAAGYGCAAGTTGCGCGACCCTGGGATCAAATCGGTGCAATGGTAAATCCTGTAAAGTGATTTTTATTTGCCGAATTTCCTTTGAATCTCATTGAAAACTGTCGGTAGCCTATAACACATGACAACTGGTGATTGAATGGGGTCAACTCTATCATTTACACAGAGCTCAGTTTTTGCTTGAGTAAATTAAGGGGAATTACCAAATGACGTTTAGAAATCACTTTTAATTAGCAGGTAATACTTTAATCAATGTAACAAGCCAGAAATGTCGGATGGAATTACGGATATCAAACGGATAACAAAACGGAAACCTTGTACYTCGKAYTGTCCCTTTTAATCCTTACTTTTGTTCCTGTTATCATAGTCGAGTTGTGTCACAGTACATAGGTGGTAAGGATTACAGTCAATCACACTGGACTGATAATTAAGAAATCTATCAGGGGGTGGACTGGGGAAATCTTTTTCCCGTCTCTTTTAAGGGACTTGTTCTATAAGAGTTGAATTTTGTAAAGAATCCCTCGTTACATATTATAAATCTTTTTCTCCTTTTTATCTACTTCGTTTCGGACTTTTCTTTAATAATATTTCAATGAAATTTTAGGAGTCTGGTTTTCGTTTTGTAAGAGCTTTATGTAGTTTATACCCACGCTACTAGCTGTAATTAATGTGGTGAAAATATGGCTCTTGTACAATATGCAGTTATTACAACTTACCTACGAAAATGATGTTGTCCTTGTCGATCTTCTTCAAGAAAKGATTAGGCTTCATATCGTTTCCATGACTGATCCAAATGACGGGGTTTAATGTCCTGTTCAGCTGAAGYGCACCTCTGTTTGAGGAAGTGAATGTCACATTGTAATTGGAGAGGAACTGAAGGGAGGTCAAAGAGCGTTGTGGAATGATACATCAATCGCAGAAAACTTTATAAAACGATTAATGGCTTTTAACCAAGAGGGTCACGAAAATAAACGGTAATGAAGTCACACATGTAGTTACTATTCTTACAAAATTATAGTGGCTAACAAGAATTTAAATAAAGAGCGGAAAAGAGCAAAAATATTAAGAAGTGGAGTAAAAAACTGAGACTAAAAAATATTAAAAAATATTCTAAAAATATTAAAAAAACAAGTATAAGCACACGATGATTAGATGAATCAATCAATTAAAGCCATCAAACGAAACTGGAATATTGCGGGAATAGAATTTTGACGGAATCGATCTTGATCGGGCTTCCTGTGGCAAAGAGTGACCGCTGTTCATCGTAACACTAATGGACACTTTTGGAGGTGACATTCTTTTTTTAACATTGTTATTTTTYCTTCTTGTTAAAATTCATAGCGAAATGAATCCATTTTTTTATTGATCAAACAAATTAGYAAGTCTGACATATTTTCCAAAGAATTCAAAGAATCTAATTTCAATAAGTCACGCACGTCACATGATTGAARGGGGTTTTCCCTCCGAGACCGCGCCGGCCKTTTGACGCTGAAGTACTCCAGAAGTGCAAACGAAGCAGTTAGTACCATATGACTTCTTTACTGCTTCTAATGAAGCTATCATAGTCATTCACAATGGGCAAGACAAGGAACAGAGACTTATTTTATCAAGGTATGTAGCTATTGCTTCAAGTATTTGTACTTTAAGACCGTAGTTTGGTCGAGCTGATAAAACTGCAACCTTGSTATTTTGTCAAACGCGKGCGAAGACCRACCAGCGTTAATGTGCTCCTRAACGGCTAGTCTTACTATTTAAGCATCTTATTCGCATTTATGAAAAGCAGTGTTAACTGAATTCTTTCAATATGACTAATTTTAGAGGCTTATTTTATGATTTAGATGAAGTTTTCTAAGGTTCATTTGAGGTGCGAAAATTTACCAACAGAGCGAGCATGATAATGGCGGCAAACACGCCTCAAAAACGCATTATGTATATTTGATTCAGTCTTAAAACAATCCTGAAGCACTGAGGTTAGATAATATAATTACTAATTATATTTATTATTGATGTTTCAATTGTATTTAAGTCTATATTTTCAAACTGCTGGAAAAAATTAATATAATATTTGAGGCACGTGACTTTCTATTCCTATACATGTAATTGAAAATGATTTTTTTTACGTCAAAGAAGAAGATAGAATCTTTGATATTGCTTGTTAACATATTGCTTTGTTAACATTGCGTTGCAGTTGTATACATGTATCTAATGATATTATTACAAAATAAATTATAATTTAATAGCTAGAGACTTTTTAATATAGATCATTCATTGTTTTATTGCAAGTGGCTGGTTTTGCATGATAACCTAATTGATGATAACACTCGTCAGGCAAGTTTTATATATACATATGCACAATTTACAAACTATGTCGGAATGTATGAAGAAGAGTAATTTTACACTTGACAATGGACTCCTGCTCTTCCAATTTACAAAAAGAAATCACTGCACAAGTTGCATATCTTCTTTGATATACTCTTATCTAAAGGATATGTATAATTATCACAAGATGAATAATAACTGGTTTGCCACTGGTTTATACTTGTTTCAATATACAAGAGTCAGTATAGGGAGGGAGTTTTCAAGAAAAAGCTCTGATATACCTTCAGAATAAATTGATACACAACCTCTGCAGAGTACTCTATGGGTTTTTGTGAGGTTTACAAACACCCAGACCTATGATTATAAATGCTATGTATGTATGTCTTTCTTATGAGGTTTGACATTTAGACAGCAAGCAAGTAAAATTCTCAAGCTATCACACTGCCAGCAAGTTGAATTTACAAAAGAATTTACAGCAAATCTACCTGATGACTAAATTGTACTTTTTGAATTACAATGTGTATGTTATATTATTATCCATACCTAATCACTATTAAATATCCAAACTAGAAGCTTATTAGCCCGATATAAGCCTTGTAAAGAATATGCAAAGCTTGCACCCATGCAACTAGAGGTTTTCAATGTATAATTATCAACATTCTTGCAAGAAAAAAAAGCATAAAAGTTCACTTGTGGCTTCATAARTTGATAACCAATTTTTGTTGAAGGACAAGTTGCATTTTATGAGTAGCACATCCATAATTGCCAACTCTAGCAATGTATCAGGGATATCTTTCTTTTTACAATGGATGTCTTAGGGTTATAGTGCTTGCTGGTTTGTTCAGTGGAGGTGTACATGTATTTGATGGATGTTGATGTATTTTGCTTTTACAATGAAGGAGGACTACTTAGCGAAGGCTGTACAGTTCCACCAATACTGGGATGCACCAAAAATGCACCAAAATAGCTTGTTTGATTATCCATGAATAATGTCTCGTTAAAAGGCACACGGATTGATATTGTGTCTCCTGTTTTGAGGTAGAAAATGCCACCATGGTAGTTAGTATAGTATTTTCTTCTTGGGCCTGCTACGCTAGATAGACTTCTCATCATGGGGGTYTCATTCACATACAAATAGTGTGCCATGTACATTGCTTTGCTGGAGTAATAAAACATCTGGGAATACAGAAAGTAGTAGCCTGGGACACCTATTACAAGACTGCCAGTGTCAACAAAGCGGATCTTGCCTTGCATGTGTCTTGGTYTCCAATTTGAGAGACGATGGACTAGTTAAATAAAATGAAACTGATAAGTTATTTGAACCATAAGTTATTTGAAGAAATTTAGAATCAATTAGGGTATCTCATAAGAATTATAACTAATTTTATCATTAAACTGTAAAATATGTTTGAAAAACTCTGAATAAGCATAATTACAAGGAAGTAAGTTAATTTGAAAACTAGTGAGAAAAGACCAAAAATTACATAAAATTACCCACAATGCATTKTTGYTGATCAGTATTTTGCAAAGATGATAATATTGGTTAATAAGTGGTGATAAATAGCTTTTTMCATGATATTTTCCACCAAGGGCCTTTTTGTAGCATGATTAACAGGTGTACAATCACATTGTTGACATTAGCCAGTCTATTAGCCAATGTTYATAAAATCACTGGAGATTTTTCATTATCGTGTGTTGTCAGCCATGGATAGCTAAGTCTGCATATGAGTTAGAAAGAATCTAAATTATTCTAAAAAGTATACCTTCACCCCTCTAGACAATTAGTTGCATTGATTGGTTAAACAACTACAATAGATTCCATTGTCTAATTCTGCAATCTATTGAATGATATTAAATATTTATTAAACATTTGTCAAATCACACCAAATGTACATTATGATCATACAAACTTTTCTTAGGTGATTAAAATATCAGAGATTATTAATAATTACTGGTGATATGTTAATTCAATTGGACACTTGGAAACAACCAAAAGATTTTGACATAGTCATAGATGTTGTTAACTCAATCTAGCACTAAAACTATGAAACCTGTCATTTAGGACAACACAAAACTTGTCAMAATCCTTTACTTATTTCCAAGTTACCAATCAAAGAAAATACTAACATTTTGTTATACCTGTCTTTGGGTTTATTTCCCCTCCATGACCTTCAATGTGGGCTGACGCTGAGAACTTAACATAAGCTTGGGTCAGAATCTCACAATTTCTGTACAATTCTGTACAATTAAAATCAGCACATCTACTTTGATTGTGGCATCGTGCTTTTTAAAACACAACTCTCTCTTAATATTTAGCAAGAAAATTGATTTTTGTTTGATTTTGAGTTCCTCATTTTAATAATCACTTGATCAGGTGTCATTTTAGTTCGATACCCAGAATGCGCATTTTCATTGGTATTCAGATTTGAGTTGTAAAACAATTGGAACTGATAACATTGCATTACGTCATGGYGAAAATTGTTTTCGTATTTTTTCGGTAGTGTTTTACAGGTTTTAGGCATTTGTTTGGTTTAACTGTTTCGCTCTTGTTCTCTTTGTTTCGTTTAGTTTCGTAAATGCGTTTCGCTATTTCATTTGTCGTCAACCTGTGAGTCGAATCTCAATGTATTCGGTCGGGATATAAAACCAACTCATTTGCAAACTAATGATAAATTTCTACGTTTCTCACCATCCCTGTTCTTGTTGAGTCTGTAAAAAACAAGAAAATAGACTTGAAGAGACAGAAGAAACATAAAAAGACTAGAAAAAAGAGAAAGCAATGCAAATCATTTYTAAAACAAAACAACAACAGCAAAATCGTTTCTTACCTATGTTTTTGCCACAGGATCCTTTTCGTCTACACTTCCCCCGCGGTCCTGGGGGTCCTGGAGAGCCTGGATCACCTTTAGGCCCTGGCGGACCTAGTTCGTTGATGAAACCATAGCAAGCAGGTAAGTATTAAGACAACGAATGTTCAAATGATGTAACTCTTGATTATCATGTTATATGCGTGGTAAACAGCTAAGTAGTCGCACGGAACGTTATGAAGATTATGATGTTATGGTGCAATGACGTAATGATAGTTAAACCGGCCGGTCGGTTAGTTTCTATTATGGTTACCTTGGCTACCTTTTCTTCTTCTCTTTCCTGAAGAAAAACACACTTCTTAACTCGAAGGCCGCGCGCATTCTCTTGAAAAGTGAGCAATKATCAAATCATGGGGTTTTAGTTCTGCGTTCTTCCATTCTTTCCTTCCGTCCTTCCTTTCGACAGTTAGTACGTCCTATTCGGAGTTGAGTAATCTAGTAAAGTATTTCTCAACATCTTAGGCGCAATTAGGCGAGATAAAGCTTGCGAGAAGGACATCAATGTGTTAAGTCATTAGGCATTGCATGCTGGCATGTATTATAGAAAAAACCTTAGTGRTCACTTACCTCGACGACCGCGTGGRCCACGTRGACCAGGATCACCTTTAGGGCCTGCTGTGGATGGAAGATTCATTTGTTATGCAACACATTTCTATTTTAATTCTAGTGTTATATAATTATATAGAAAATTAAAATTCCAGCTTGGTCAACGGTCGTCTAAAGGGTTTCAGGGTTCGAGCCAGGGTAAAGTTGAAAAATATAACATAATGAAAATGATTAGTTAAGTATATAGATATTTCACTTCTAAAATTTAAGGCAATTTAGACTAGTAGTTTTTGTGTATAAAATTTCAGGTTTGGACATGCGTAGATACATGAATATGAAGGTCATAGTKAAACTTGTAAAACCTGATATTGAATTCACCACAAAAGCCACAAAACCTGAACCGGGTCTTCCCTTGAATTAAACAACGTACATTATTTAACAACGAAAAACGTGGTCCCTTCAAGTTTATRTCAATTACTTTCCTAATTGACTTGTGCATTGTTTTGCTTTCATTTCATTTCTATTTCATTTCTTTTCATTAATTCAATATTGATTATTATCAACATCCTTTTACCATTGCAATGAATGCCGTTAAAACAATTTATGACCTTGACAGTGTTGTGCAACAGGCAGATTTTGCGTGACCAAGACAAAAATAATATTAATATTGACACTTCTGTAAAATATCCGAACACCACAAACTTCCTCGCTAATTAACCAGTAATTAAAAGTAATAATCTAATATGATAATTCATTCTTTATTTTTTTGCTCCTATTGAAAGGTAGTTATAAAATATTGCGTAGTTATTAAGGTGTAAACAACATTTGTGAATCTTGGCAATTGAAGTTCAGTTGTCATCGAGCATTTCGGTGAAAAGTTGACGAGCAAGGGGTCAGTCAGGCTTAATTCAATATCCCAAAAACAATTCGTGTGCWTATCACCTTGACAAGGACAACTTGTTACAGCAGCTCTTGCAACTCTGTTATKTACYTCAAGCTGACGGATCTACCATTGAAAGAAAAAATCTTGCCAAGGGTTCATGATTTGAAATTTGAAATAAAGACTGATTAGTATAGCTTCCGGAAACGTCATTGTAATGAAGTAATAATGCTATATCGCTGTGAATGTTACATTTGATGCTTAGATTGAAAGCTGGTATGCTTTGGTAGTATTGAAGATATTGCGCTAACGTGATGCTATTTTTAACCCGATAATCGTACAACACATTATTAGAATATTTGATTCTTTCATTGACCATTGATTGGAATACTGAATTATATCAGTGGGCAGTAATGTRTTTCAAGTGCCGAATGATTTTTTCCTCGATTGCGCACATGTAGCTAAATTATTGAAGTTGAATAATTTCAAAAATAACGCAAATTTAATGATATATATAAGATTTTCCGTGTTTGATACAATGAAGTGGTGAGAGCTAAGATGGTACTATTACATGGTAGACAATAGATTCAACATAAACACCACCAAACATACATAAATATAGACTACCATGAACGTGATACATAGCACTCTCGATTACAATGTGTCCCTAGTATWTATGCAGCTTGCAAACCTTAGCTGTAAGATGTTGGACTGTCTTGAGTAACGAATCCAAATTCCGTCGTTTCAAAGTCGTCCCGTTGTTCTTAAAATCCTGCAACTCTTGAATAGAGACTTCCTGATCACGAATCTTGCTTTTGAGGCCGTGTATCTCCCATAACAACATTGCAGACATTGATAATAGCGTTATCGCCACCAACAATGCAAGCAAGCCGATAACAACACTGGTAGGCAGGGAGATGCCATGTTTGGATGCGCTCTCCTTCTCCATTGTGCTGGTTGGTGAACAAATTCTGTGAGTTGTGGACGTTGTTGGCAGTATTTTTATGACATTTCTGAGAAACGTTGCAGTCACATGATCAATTGGTGTACAGGAGCTGGCTTGTTTTTGTTTTAGTGATTTCAAATAGATATTGTCGTAAACAATATTCACCAACTTTAATGAAAGACAAAATATTTAATTTCTAGTATGATCCGATCGACAGAAGCAATGAAAGGTGATTATCTCTGGACTTTGTTTTAACTGAGGAGAATTTCCTTAGTTCCAGTATGAACAGGACGCTAATCACTAGGTTGTGCTGTGCATAAACGTGATTCTATTTCTCTGTAATGACTGCCAGTAATTTCTATAAAACGCGTGTCTCTGAGGCTATGCCRAAACTGATGTGTTTTTGCTCGTTTTCGTATTCTTCGGGACTGAAGGAACTTCAAAGCCATGCAAAGCGCTGTGCCGAATGTTAACCACGCCTAGTATAACACTYTACTAAAGCCTTGCTAGACTGCAACGACCTGCGACARTGCAATGACCTTAGGCGAAGACGAGAATGTGTGTTAACGCATTATTTCTTAAGTGGCAAACTTTGTCCTACTCGCAGTTAAATAAATAAAATRAAAAATCTTTATTGTACATCAGTCAATTGAAATTACGGACATAGAAAATGC